CAGGAGGTGGGCGGCGGGACTGGGGCTCACAGGGCTCACATCACGTACCGCTGGGATGCCTCCTTGTGGCTCACCGCTGGTTTGATGCTGTCGCTTGCATTTTCTTGGCTCCCTTGCCCAGTCGTGCTCTTGGTGATCTCTCTCATACTCCATGAAAGTCAGGGCTTCCTCTTTGTGCTTTGACCCTCCAACCTGGTTACTGTAGTTTCCTTCTTTTGCAGGGACCAATGTGACAGAGTGTTCACCCCACACCACCCTCCTGAGCCTGTCGGGGAGGTGTAGCATGAGCACCCTGTTAGGAAGAGGATGAACCCATGACAATCCCCAGAGATCACGCTTTCTTTCTGCTAAGTGGAGCGTGTTCGCTGCCCTCACTCACGCGTGTTCCAATGTTCAGGGACTCGTGCTGGGTCTCAGAGGGCGCAGCCGTGTCCTCTCCCCATTTCGGCCCAGAGCGAATGCCAGGGTCAGGCAGTGCAATGCATGCTGAGTTCAATGCCATGATGGGTTACTCTGGGGCTGCGCCTGGTTTCCCGGCACATCGAAGACCTTGAGAGGGCTGGTAGAAGATGCCCACTCGATGAGACGTACTGGGCGTGGGCAGGCAATGTGCTCAATCAGGGCCGCTGGGGCTTGCTTGGTTGGAACACTGGGAGAACCCTTCCTTCCTGGTGGCCCCACGTGGAGAGAAACTGTCAGATCTTCAGCTCCCCGGAGAGACGCAGCCAGACCACCACCAGCGTCAAGCCCCTGGCTCGACAAAGCCCAGGTGGCCTCTGTGTGGGCTGTGTTGTCGGTCCCAGGCTGTCTCCTGGCGGGTGAGCCATGTGCCAGGCAGGGCAGTCGTGCTTGCCTGCCTGCTGGGTTGCGTAAGGTGCTGGCTGCATGGGTGTTGCTGTGACGTCGATGGGACTGTCACACAAATATTGTACCACCCACTTGACGCTAGAGACACACAAAGGGCTTGCACAAGGAGAACCCGAGGACGGGAGTCACATAGGAACGTAGGAAGATGAGAGCCGCTGTACCTAACTCTGAGGGGCCTAGGAGCTCACAAGCCGGAGTCTAGCACCCAGGCATCCTGTTCAATGAATGGGGGGAGGCACCCACTGCCTCCAGATAAAGAAACAGAGCTCAAGACGGGTAAAGAAAAATTAGCTCAACAGCATTTCATCTGGCAAGAAACCGTTTATCAAAAGCTTCAGAGGGATAGCTGAGTTTTCAGAGGGGAAAAACCTCCCCCCGCCCCCCGCATCCCCTATTTATTTAGGAACTAGACCTTTAACGCCAGTCATCTGAAGAAGTGGGCTGTGTCCGTGAAAAGTCATGAGCCCATCCACGGGTTTTGTTCCTCTCTAAGGTGCTGTGAGACTATTTTATGTTTTTCAATAGTTGGGTCTGAGGAATCCTCATTTCAAGGTGGTGGTCCTCACCTTCCTGTTGTCGGTCTGGTATTTAATTGTTTGTCTGGAGCATTCACTTTGCTAGGTGCAAATCAACTGAGGTGGTGGGGTCTGATTGGCTAGGTAATTCTGTTACAGTATGCTATGATTGGTTAGTAAAAACATTCTAAACTAATTGGTCACAATAGAGCTAAGCAGGACTCAGGTTTCACTGTATAAATTGGGGGTCCAAAGGAAGTTCTTTGGGAACCGACTCCAAGCCATAGCCCCCGAGATGAGAGCTGCCAGACTTCAACCCTGTGCCAGTGACACTGCGCTGAAACTGGAGTCCCCAGATGGACCTGACCCTGCCTGGCCAGCAAGACAAGTTCATCTGCCTCATTAGGAGCGGTGAGGCCGGCATGCCTGGTGTTTTTGATGATTGTTACTAACTAGAGAGGAAGTAGGATATTACTGTGTAAGGCTCTTTCACTGGTAAACGACCCTGCAAACATGCAGAGTGCAAGGTTACGCCTGAGCCTGCAGAAGGGTAATGGTGGGTGCCTATATTGAGATGCTTGGGGTAGCCAAGGCAGTCTGTACAGGATCAACATAACAAACAAATGGTCTGGTAGCACTTTGCCGACTAACAAAACATGTAGGTGGTATCGTGAGCATTTGTAGGCACAGCCCACTTCTTCAGATGACCGGAGTTTTGTTATGCCTAAGCTAGTGACGCCTGAGCTCTAGAAGCAGGTAAAGGAGGGTGCCCCTAGAGTGTGTATTTCGTGCAGGTAACACTCTGGGAGAGCCCTGGGCCACACTTTCCCAGCCAGGGCCTTACCTGTGCACACGTCCTTTGGGGAGACTGTGCTGGAGCTGTTGCCGTCAGGGAGATGTGCCGTGCAGGTGAAATTCTCGTGAGCAGCCTGGTGCCGCTGCCGGATGTGCACAACAGAGACCCTGGATATAATGTGGCTGGGCGTGTGACTCCAGCTGTAACTCACGTTCTCCCCTCCATCCCTGATGGCGCAGTGCAGAGTGTAGCTACAGGCGTCATTCTCACAGGCCACTGAGTCACAGGCGATGGTGGGCGGCAGCTGCCCTTCTATGGGGGGTAAGGGGGGGGGAAAGAAACACAGAATGGTTGAAATCCTTACAGCAATTTACTAGCCACTGCTTGGATCTGCATCATCACAGCATGCTTGCAGCAGCAGGGAGACAGGAAGAAAATGCTACAGCTGGCAGGGAGGAGCAAGGGGAGGGGGTGTCACTTGGAGCAGTGCAGGGGCCCCACCTTAGAGATCAGTTGAGGGTTGAGCTGGTGGAAATTTTCCACTGAACAGAAAATTTGGTTTTGTGGGGAATGAGTTGGTGCCAAGAAAAGTGTCCGTTTTCCGGAGCAGGAGTTGAAAGCAAAACCAAGCATTGCATTTTGAACGGTCTTTCCCCTCCACCCCTTGGAGCCCACTGTACTTGGTGAGGCCTGTGTGGAAACCGATCAGCATTTCGACACCTGCTGTTCCAGAGGGAGTGACATGTCAAAACGCTGAATTTCCTGAGTGAGAGTTTTTGCAACTTTCCATGGAACTATCTGAGTGGGCAGAGTTCTCTTTTGCTCCCCACCTGGGACAAAAGCAGGTGTCGCAATGGCCCGTTCAACAGAAATTTTGTTCCCTGCTTGCTCTCTTGGGGGCCTAGCTCTGGCATTGATTGGGAAAGCAGGCCAGGAAGTGGAGTCGGGGAGGGATGGGGGGGGCGGCGAAGAGGAGGAATGAAGAAGACCTAGAGTCCAAGAGGAGTTTGGGTTTCTGAGGGTCCAGGGCAGCGGTGGGCAACCTGCGGCTCACTGGGTTCTTTGTGTGGCCCACGAGACATTTTTTGACCGCAGAGAGTTGAGAGACATTTTTTGACCATGTGCAGAGTTGCCAGATTCTGCTGGTTTTCCCCCCATGTAAGTTTTTTCCTGCCGATATTGCTAAAGTGCCGCGCACGTAAAGCCAGGGACACGAGGGGAGGAGCGTGCCGATAGCTCTCACAGACAGTGTTGTATGCAACGCTCCCTCTGCAGCCAACCCCAGCGCTGCTACGGTTCAGTCGGCGCCCCCCACCCATTCTAGGGATGCCAGCACAGAGAGCCAAACAGCCCTGTCCTGGGAGACCGTCTTGGTTACACGGCCACTCACTAGCCTGGGTTGCCCCTCACTGGTCCAGGCCCATGTGGGCAGGGCAGGAGCAGTGGGGCAGTGGCCAGGTGGGAAAAGGCCGTGCAAGACAGAGCTGGGGAGCAGAGCTGGGGGGCTGCGGAAGAGACAATGGAGGAGGAGAAGCAGCTGCCCTAAGAAGTTGGCAAGTGGCCATGAGCTTCCCGGCCAGGGCTGGTTCCAGGCTCCCCCAGGGTCCCGCCGCCAGCACTTACTGGAGACGCGCAGCGTGAATTCCCTGTAGACGAAGTCCTCTGTGTCTGTGCTGAATTCCACGCTGTAGCTGCCTGTGTCCTCCGTGCGCAGGCTGCGGAGCTGCAGCGAGTGGCTCTGCTCAGGGACTCTCAGGCGTCCCTCGAAGGCCGGGTGAAAAACCCGGAGGCGGGGCGGGTTCCCTCCGGTGACGGTGGCGATGCTTGTCGATGTGTTGACCATCCAGGCTGCGTGTTTCAACTTCTGCGGGGCGGGGATCCTCAGGGGAAAAGTGACCGAGCCTCCCAGGATCCCCGTCAGCTCCTCGTCATCCGTGGTGGCTCCGGAGTAGCCTGGTGCACAGGGAGAAGCACAGGGGATATATCACCAGGCCAGCTCCTCTCCTCAGGCCCCAGACCTGCTCCCACAGGCCCCAGGAGGAAGCACACAGCTTACAGGTGCGGGAGGGGGAATTGCTTCCCCTGGATCTGCGTTCACATCCCACAGATGGCAGAGCAGGCATCAGACACCCCATGGCCGGGCAGCCTTCCCCCTGAGGCATCACCTTGGGTGTTACTGAGCAAGGGGCCGTGTCACATCTGCTACGGGGCATGGAGAGCGGGCAGCACTGGCAGCTGTTACCCGGGACTGTGCGGCAGCCACGAATGACCCTCCGAAGGCACAAAGGCCCACCCTGTGCTATAGCAGGACTCAGCTTTTCCAGGTGCTGTAGCCGCAGGGCCCTAAGGGAAGCTGGGGATCCTATTGCAGCCCATTAAACGGCCAAGCAACACTGTGTCCAGGCAGCAGCGGAGTCCTGCTGGGCCACGGGAGCCTCGAAGGGTCAGGAAGGCAGCTCCCGTCTCTCTGTGTCCCTCAGGTCAAGTTCCAGCCTTGTCCAGGACTGGGAGCAGCTTCTCCAGCCAAAGTGGCGTTTCCGTGGGTATTTCCACATCCCCCGCGTGGCAAAGGGGCCAGGGAGTGGAAGAGCAAAGAAATATGTGCCAGGATCCTGGGCCCGATTCTCCCTCACTCTGCGCCTTGTACAGTCGCTTGCCCCGAGGCAAAGGCAGCGTGAAATGCCGCCCGCGAGAGGTGCACCCATCTCTCTCGCGCCGGGCAGTGGAGGATTGGGCCCGGTGTGGGGCCTTGGAACAGTCTCCTGGGCATGAACGAGATAAATCAGCCCCAAGGGATGCAGGCACAGGGAGGGGCCATTTCATCTCAGCCTCTAGACTGACCCACATGCCTGGGCCAGGTTCTCCTGTGGCCTGGCTAGTCTGGGCCCTGCGGCGGCTCCCGAGCAGCTCACAGTGCGGCTGGCTCCGGCAGTGGTTGTGCTGGGGGTGGGGAGCAGGGATGGGGGTAGGGTTGCCAGATTGTTTAACCAAAAATACTGACCCCCCCCCAAAAAAAACTACTGGGAAAGAAATTCTGTTGCGAAAAAAAGG